CTCAGACATAGACATAGTTTAAACTTACTTTTTCATTTTTCTTCTTAATGGTAGACAACCTTTATTAGATGGATGGCTAGAGGCCTGAGACAATTTTAATTTATTTTTTGGTATATCATATTATTAACCCACTGATGCTGAAATGTATGCCCATACATGCCATGTCCACTGTGATTTTAGTTTATTTTGCTCACACATAGATGGCTCACCAAGGAGTCAATTACTAGTTGTACCTGATCTGACCTGTTTACCTTTTTTCTTGATTTCTAGAAGAAAATACTTATTGCTATTTTTATTGATAGTAGCATAATAATCCCTTCATTCAACAACAATAGTAATAATAACAGTGATGATATTGATAGCATTAGAAATAATAAAACTGTTTCCAAAAAATAAACAAGGAATGTTAAAACTACAATGGACAATGCAATTACCTGGCTCTAATGGGTTAATCAAGAAATTGATTTGATTTAAAATGTTTTGGTGACAGCTGCTCCTATAACACCCATCATATAAAAAATTGCCTATTGAGAATAGCACAGGAAGCCTTAACTGATATCAGAATAGGTAGTTTGTCTCAGAAGGCTTGTCCTCTGCTTCTCACTTAACTCACTTTCAACAGGTGTCCTATCATCTACATTCTTTTTCGCTCTCAGTTACTCACACATATGCTCATAAATGCTTCCACTCACATTCATGCCCTTCCCCTACCACAATTAATTTATAAATAACACAAATTTTTAATGAAAAAAAATGAGCAGATCAAACAAATTGATTCCAGTGTATGACATACTGATACCCAAGTCAGCCAGTTATCTACTCTGATGTTATTAATGTTTAAAGGTTAAAACTAATAAATCTGCTAGACCTCTGACATTATTAAAGCTTCCTGTGTTTTTCCCATATTCACATTTGGTGCTTCTGTCAAAATTACTTATCAGACTAATTTAATTTATTAATATCAGTTGCACATTTGTTTTTATTTCTATTTTTTCCAGCGAAACTCCGAGTCATGATTCTCAAAAGGCTTAGATAATTGTAATATGTTTTATATTGGTTTAAGATGAAGCAGTTTGATAATGGAGTTTCTAAATCTCAAGAAAAAAATATATGCATCTCTCCTATAATCATTATGAAACCAAACTATTGAACCATAAACAGATTTCTTTATAAAAATTTTGTTTAGGCACTTTATCCCTACCTTGAGTATGGGAATAATAGCTCCCCGTTTAATCTTGCCAAGGTAAATATCAACCTATGTCCCCTAATATCCTTGGTTGTTGTTTTCATGGGAGGACTTAAGAGATGGGGACTGAGGCCTAATGTAGGGGATCACCCATACCATGGTCCTCAGCCCTCACCTCAACTAATTTTGCATGGTCTTTTCTTCTCCTCCTTTCCTTTTCTCTTCATCCCCATGTTCTGTCCACTTGTCCTAATCATTAACTAATTTATCCCGTTTTTGTCACAATACCTTTTCGTAATTTTCCCTACTCCCCTAACTCCTTCACTTTCAACCAACCTTTACCTTATATTGTACCCCATCAGCTTTCCTTCTCTAGCCTTTTCGCTACCATACTACCCTCTAGTACTATTTAACTTGTAACTTTACCCTAATCTGAAACTTAACCCTAACCCTCTTAGCTACTCTACTTTAACATAGTGTCATATGACCTTTGGTGTCCTATAATACTGCCTTATGCCATTGCTATATTTTGAATACCCTGTTAATGACCTTAGATGTTGATGCAACTGAAGTTTGTCAATAAAAAATTGCCTTTATGGAAAAAAAGAAAAAAAAAAATAGTTGTAGAGATCTTGGAATTACATCTTGACATATTATCCACCCAATCCCTTGCCTGTGTGTGTGTGTGTGTGGGGGGGGGGGTACAGAGACCAAGGCCAATTTAGAGAATCACCCCTACCTTGGATTTCAGCCCTTGCCTCAACTAATTTTGCATGGTCTTCTTCCTCTTTCCTTTTCTTTCTATTCTTAATTCCCCTCTAACAACTTCCTAAGGCATGAGAGCTGTACTGAAAGGATGAAAGGAAGGCTTTGAGTCAGTCCTGAATGGCCTCCATTGGTTAATCACATTGCACTTTTCCCTTATGGGGACCAAGGCTGTTCATCTTCCCTGAATATTTCAAGCTCATCATGACCAATAATGAAGATTTTGTATCCTTATAAGGGGCATTAAGTCTTGCCCTGTTATCAACTAGCTTATTGAAGTTTGACTTCTCTGGTTTCCCAACCCCAGCCTCTCCTTTGATCATGACTCTGACCACTGATACAAATACCTCCTCCTCAATGATTGCTGTCAACTCTATCCATTCTGTATGATCTACCTGGGTCATTACTCAACCTTCAGAGTACACACTTTTGCTCCACAGCCAACTGCTGTCTATGTGCTTGGTCATGACTGTCCAAATTGCTCTGCTCATTCACACATGTGTGACAGTTGTGGTGGCTCCCATAATGTATTTTATAAGAGCTATCTTGCCTACAAACTCTAATCTGAGGTAGCAATTCTCAGTTAGAAACTAGATCTCACCCTAGGAAACAAGGAAGGTTTTTCTCTTTATACTCATTCCAAAACTGCTTTCCTCCTCTCCTCCATCTTCTCAAAATGTCTCTGCATCTACCCCATCTCTTCCCTCTAATCTGAACCATACTACCTCTGCTCCCTCTCTCCCCCATTCAACTTCCTTTTCCACTCTAAATCCAATCTCTATCACTTCCCCAATGCCTACCTCTCCTCTTCTCTTTACCTGTTGCACTGGAAAATATAAACATTCTACCCCATCTACTATCACATCCTCTCCTACACCCACCTCTTTCTCTGCTCCCTTCACATCTATTTGCTCTTCTCCTTAAAAGAAAATCTTAGTTTCATAGACCTCCCTACCAGACTCCCCTCTAGAAATTCTTGATGACATCTAAAACTTCCTTTACATGACCCTCATCCACCCTCCAATCTCCTTATTCCTATTCCCTCTACATTCAAAGTAATTGTCGATATTCATCTTCCTCCCACACCCCTACCCATCTTCCTCCCACACTATCCCAACACACCCTATCCTCCCCTTCTCCATGTGCATCATTCACTTTTCTTTCCCCATTATCCTTACTGCTCACACCAGGATGCTCACATGACTCCCTTATTTCACAGCATTGTCCTCCAGAACCTTTTCCTCCTGACTTTCTTCCTGATACTTCACTGTCTTCCCCTGTTCCCTTATTTCATTCCCTGGATTCTTCCCCTCCTACTCCCACACCCCATTTCCTTGACTGTTGCTGCCGTGAGAGTCAGGGATTGACACCCAGTGCCAGGGATCACCCCTACCTTGGGTCTCCACCCTGGACTCAATTATTTTTGCACGGTCTTCTCTTCTTCAACCCCTTCTACTTTAATTTCCTAGGGTGTGAGACATGTTAAAAGGATGAAAGGCTGATTTTATGTCAGTCATGAATGGCTTGGGGAAGCCAGGGGCACGGTATTCCCCTGCTTAGTTGTTTAGCCTTTACTCCTCAAGATCAGAGTTAGGGACTGCAGGAGGAATTTCAAAGAATTGATCCCCCTTGGTTAGGCCAAAAAGTGTACTCAAAAAGTTTGCAGAGGTAGAAGCAGTAGAAGGACAAGGGTGCATGGAATATGGCGGTGTGGAGGGAGGTAGTACAGTGGGCAGAACAACAAGAGGGATGAATAGTAGTCAAAGGAGTGGCAGGGGTCAGTTAATGATAAAAAAAATAAATGTGCTAGACATCAAAGGTCATACAGCATTTTGATAAAGAATTGTGGTGAAAAGGGTAAGGTTAGTGAACGATTAGTATAATTGGACAGAAGGATATGAAGAAAAGAAGGAAAAGGAAGGGGGAGAAGGGAAGAAAAGACCATGCAAAACTAGTTGAGACAAGGGCTGAGGTCCAAGGTAGGAGTGATCCCCTACGTTGGGCCTCAGTCTCCGTCTCCTACCCCCCCCCCCCCAATTAACATAGGATTTGGGAGGGTGGCAGGGTTTGAAGAAGCCAGAGAAATCAAATTTAGAAAGGTTAGTTTAAGGGGCAAACTTTAATGCTCCAAATAAGGGTAAAACAAAATCATTATGGGCCATGGTGATCCTGAAATAAATGGGGAAAAGAAACAGTCTATCCTTCAGGGTCCCTATAAGGTGTAAAGGCTAGGCGATTAACCAAGGGAATACCGTACCCATGGCTCCCTGGGGCTGTTCAGGACTGATACAAAGCCAGCCTGTCATCCTTTCAGCACAGCTCTTACACCTCAGGAGGTGGATGGAAGAAGGGGATGAAGAAAAGAAGGAAAAGGAAAGGGAAGGAAGAAAAGACCATGCAAAATTAGTTGAGGCAAGGGCTGAAGTCCAAGGGAGGGGTAATCCCCTATTTATTTATTTAGTGAAATTTTCTGCTGTGCCAGCATCTAAGGTAATTTGTGGTGTATTCAAAATACAGCTATAGGGTGGGGCTTAAGCCCCCAAGCATTATGATAAAGAATTATGGCAAAAAGGGGTAAAAATTAGTTAATGATTAAGATGTCAACAGAAGGGGACAAAGAAGAGAAGGAAAAGGAAAGGGAGTGAAGAAAATACCATGCATAATTTGTTGATGCGAAGTCTGAGGTCCAAGGTAGCAGTGATCTCCTACATTGGGTCTCTGTCTCCATCTCCTAAGCTTCCCAAGACAATCAGCAAGGGATTAGGAGGGGTTTTGCTACATTACTTTACCATAGTGCTATATGACCTTTGATGTCTAGCACTTTTATTTATTTTAACCGTTAACCACCTTGATATTATCCCAATATAATTATGGGAAGATCAACTGGAATCACTGATTAACCCCCTTTACTGAAGACCTTGTAAGGGACAACTATTTGTGAGTAAAGCATGAAAAAGGTAATATAACTTCTTTCCATCCTATTTCTTGTTTTGATGACTTTCATATACACATTTCAATGCACTTGTGTCAAAGGGTAAGGAAAGGCAGATTATGCTCTCTACCGCATCTATTGGTGCTACCATATTATTTGAGGTCATGTGACACCCTCTTAGATTTTGTTCTTTCAAAATACAATAATGTTAAAACATATATTTGTATAAAACATATGATCCATAAATATATATATATTCAAGAATTACACAACAAAGGTTCTTTAAATGCATTGAAAATCAAAAGCACTAAACTGATGGTGCTAATAATGGAATAATGTTTTGATTTGAATAATAAAATGTTATGAAGGCTGAGTGTATATTTATTGCATGGCTGTGTACTGTACATGTGTTAACATATGTAATTCATTGTATATCTGAATTTGGGTGTGAAAGTGTGTATTTTGTTTAACTGATTTATAAAATGCAACATGCTCCCACACATGCACACTCACAATCTCTTTCATAAAAGTAGAAGAAAAAGAATGAAGGCAGAAAAAGAAGACGACGAAGAAGAGAATACACGCATGCACACCATAATCTGCCTTTATAAGCACAAGTGCACACATAGAAATGTAGTCTCACATATACAAACCTATGCTTAGTATTACACTCATAAGATCAGGATCAGTGTTGAAAGCACATCAGTTGTCATGCACATTTCACAAAAACCTAAACCCAAAAAAGAAAAAACAAACAAAACATATATATTACAAACTCAATTTCTATCACAAATAAAGTACCTAAGTAATTACATGATGTTGTTTTTCTTGGAATAAAAGACCAGGTCTATCATCCCATTTATATCTATCATACATAAAATGCCTGGTGTCTATGTATATATACACAATTCTTTCATTACTGTGAAATGGGTCTAAGTCTGTGAAGTGGGTCTAATAATTTATATTTGCAAAAAAAATCTGATGGATAGATATGGAACAATATGCTGCTTTTCAAAGGAGTCTCAGAGGACAGAAGAGCAATGGGTGCATTAAATACCATCAAAAGTGAAGCAAGAAATGGAGAAAAAACAATCTGCATTAGGAGAATAAGATATATATCCAGTATTACCTAAACTATTTCTCCATTTGCCTTTTTGAACACATTCAACACATTCAACTACCTATCCATGATGGTTTTCAAAATAACCATTTAATGAAAATTACATGGTTTGCAGGAGTGCATTATAAAATAAATATCTGAAGATGGTTCACATGACCAACAGTTTTTGAAAACATCCAACAGCACGGATTCTACAAAGTTTTGACAGTGATTGCTTTTCCTGGGCTTCACACATGCAGTCACTTAGTTATGGAATTAGTTAATAAATAGTGAAATAGATATGTATATTCATGCTTTCATTGTTTTTTATTAGTATGTATAAGAAATTAATCATTTCACTGCATATAAAGAGCAACTTTGTTTGTGTGTCTGTAAATAAGTTATCTATCTTTGACTATTGACAAAAGGAATGACACTGTAGTAATTGATTTCATCACAGTTGATGGAATTGCAAATAGACAAGTTTATACAATGTAGATTTTTACTGTCATGTATTCTTGCTACATAGAGGACTGCATATGTCTTTGGTCATTATTCGTATCCAAGATATCACAACCTGACTGGTCTATGCATAATGTAGTGCTAAAAACATTCAGCTAGTTGTGGGCAGTAGGGTTTGTCACATTCACTGCTGCAATTTTGCCGAGCCTCCAGTTGCTTGAAAAGAAATGGTTTCTTGCAGAAAGTACATTCCTGGAAGATATCAATTGAGCAGGTCAGAGTGTGTATGAAGAATATATAAAGAAATATATATATTTTTTGAATTACTTAATAGTTATCTGGCAGAAAGCAATAAGCCAAGTTGGATTATGCTTGCAGAATATAATAAGCAATGAAGTTCTCTTTAATGTGTTAAATATACACAGAGTGAATATTGTCAACCAGTGTTACATGCTCTTCATCAATCAAATGGACTGCTAAAAATACTTACATCACCACATCTCTTATCATTTAAAGGCAGATCCAACTCCTTCCATATACTAACAAGGTCCTTCACAAACTGATCCATCATTTCTGGGGTGTGCTGAGGTGTTGGGGCAATTCGAAGCTTCTCCTGTCCTCTCGGTACAGTCGGGTAGTTGATAGCTTGTACATAGTGGCCATACTTTCGGATCAACTCATCAGACACTTTTGTACAAAGCATAGGGTCACCAACCTAGAAAGATATTATATAATTTTTTTTTATATTCTTGTTTATAAATGTAACTTTTTATTCTTTTTATCTTATAAAAATAAATAACTGTCTTAGAATTATCATTATGGCCTCATCCTTTATATATAATTTCACCATTCATTTACAAAGAATACTTCCTTACATGAACAGGTAAAATGTGTGAAGGGCAATGTTCCACAGGCAAGCCATTATCCATGAGCAATTTGCGGAGGTA